ACACACACACACACAGACAGTTTGTAAACCCCCCCACCAAAATCCTAGCGCTTGCCAACAGAGCCCACACACAGACACACTCGTTTTATCATTCTGTGCGAACATCAGCCACACCAAAGGGGAAGGTGACACACATACAAAGATACATGCACACACACATCTTCCTGCACATGGCTAAATGTCACAGTCAGGCACATATTGATTTGTTGAAGATATAGGGTGAATGATGGCCATGTTTTGACATTCACACAGGCACATGAATTCAAGCAGGCTTTGCCAGCTGCACAGGGAGATGGGAAAGGCTGATATGTTTATGGAAAGACCTTATCTTGTCCTTTCATTATGGAAATGTTAAGAAGTCGTTTAGCTTCTCCCGCCATCTCGGCTCACTTTGTACGCCACCTTCTCTGTCAGACTCTTTCTGATTTGCCTTGTGCGACAATATGTCTGTGTGTGTGTATGTTTGTTTGTGTGTGTTCAGACATGGTTATGCATGCCAGACAGGAAGTACAGCCTGTGTGGATGTCTGGTTTTGTGTGTGTTCGTGTGTGCTCCTTTACACACTTAGAGGAACTTCTATATTTTCCTCATGCCAATTCCTGTTCCCCTCATTTTATATGTTTTCTTGAAATCCCCCCCAGATGGAAATCAGTTACCGTCATGACTGACTGGGAAACAGCTTCAGCAGACACTTCATTATTCACCTCTAGCACCAGCCTCGCCTCTCCCCTCTCCTCATTTTCTCTCTCTCTCTCTCACCCCCGAAGCCCCGGCTGTTGACAAGCAATTTTAAGTGAGCCTAAATTTAAAACTCAACTGTGTCTTGGGACGCCGACGGATATCGCAGAAGTCCTGAGAAAGGCTTCTGAGCAGTGTTTGACGGGGACCCGGAAAAATGTGTTAGCGGGGTAATTGATGTGATGTGTTTTATCTTCCTCATTATCCCTCACAGTGCAGAGACATCGGAGAGATGGCTGGGTGGCTGCACATCCTTTCCTTTCTGTGTGTGTTGCTGTGTTTGTTCAGCGCAGGCAGCTCTGACAACTCACCGGGGCTCTGCTTACTGAGTCAGACAGCCTAGTTGACTGCGAGAGTGCAGATGGTGGTTCGGTTGGATTGTGCTTGGTACTCCAGTGCCTCAGTACACCGTGACCAGTGTGTCATGATGGCCTTTGATGAGCACACCATGTTTGTAAGACGCTGTTCATTTGTTAAAGTCCCCTGGTGATTAAAGAGACAGACACCAAAGTCCTCCCAGTAGATTAGTACTAACTGACCATTATTTTTGTGGTATTGGTACATATGTTGTCTATTCTTACTTGATGCCAGTCTTCTTACTTTGCTTATAGCTTTGCATCATCCACTGCCATATGCCTATAACGTTTGTATGCTCTTTGCATAATTATCAATCAGTGGAAAATGAATCTATTACAAATTGAATAGGTGATCAATCATTTAATGAACAAAAACCCAAATGTGAGAATTTGCTTTTCATCGCTTTCTGTTATAAATTAAATATTTTTTGGTTTCAGACGGTTAGTCGGACAGTATAAGCAATTTGAAAACATCCCCATAGGATCTGGGAAATTGCCTGTTATTTTTTTGGCATTTTGTAGTGTAGAGTTGTATAATCAGAAAGTAATCATCAGATTAATCTACTAAGAGTTTGTTGAAGTCCTAATTCTGTTGTTGCTTGGTTTTTGTTTTGTCACTAACAACATCCCCTATTTCCCTGCTGAAAACAACTACAAGTTCTTCATCCACCTCCATTACATAAAGTGTTATTGATCTATTTTACAATGCTTGGTCAAGATTTTCCTCATTTTATAGCATTAAGGTTTCAAAATGGCAAAGGACTCAGGTTTCATGATTATTCCCCTGAGTGTTACTCCACACTCAGTCATTTGACACCACAGCTCTTGTTTTATGGTTCCCACAAGCTGACAAGCCTTATGTCATCGTCTGCTGGGTGTTGACCTGGAGAGTAGCATGATGTCATTTGATATATTAAGTGAAAAAAACCTGATTTATTCTGCATGTGGTTGCTGGGGAGGTGGGGGTGGGGCACTGAGAAAGTTTACACTAATGTACTGTATTTCGCCACCAAATTTTAAATCTTGTCTTGCACTTTTCAGCCCGAAACAAAAACAGAGCTCTTCCTCTGTGTTCTCAATTCTCATATGCCCTTGTAATATCAGAAGTCATGCGGTGTGGTTTGGGATGAGAAGACCATAGAAAACAATGAATGAGAAAAACAAAGATGGTGCGGTATCGCTGAAATGTACTCCTGTCGATTAGCTCTGCTGGACTCCTGCAGGGCTCAGTCGCTGCATTAGAATGTGTTAGATAGAAAAGCCAAGCCTGTAGACAGAATGTGTCTCTTTTTTGTAGCAACTCAATTACTTGCCCTTTACCCCTGGGAAGTCTCTGAATCTACCCAAAACTAAAAACCTATTTCTCTCTCTTTTTTCTTTTATCTCTTTCAGACAAACCTCCTCACTTCACACCGGCTCAGCCTCCTGATGGTAAGTCCTCTGCGGTTTTTCTCTGCTTGCCTTCGTTGACCACTGCTGTTTTTGGGGTATACCTATGAATAATGTCCTTGGACAGCGGATCCCTCTCTTTGAAGTGGGCCGCCGTCTGTGCGTTACGCTAGACTTGGCTGCTACGCTTTTTGTTTCTACACTGTTGGTATGGCAGGCACGTGGTCAGGTCTGCTCAGTTCTTTGATGTGAGAAGGATCTTTTGATGACTTCATTTGATCTGCTCCGCTCGGCTAGTTGGGCTGATGTTCAATACCTGTTACCACAGCAGCAGTCACATCCTTCTGATAGGGTCTAATAGGATAATAACCTGTCTTTCCCTGGGTATTCTACATCACGTGAAGCTGCTGGGGGTCTGTAGGCCAGGGGAACAGTGCAGCACCATCACCTCGCCTTGTTATCCACATGTTCTCATCCCGTCCCACACAAATAAATCTTTGCAATGGGTGCTGCATTGTTTCAGTTGTTTTCAGGCCCAGTAACATAAGCTGTTAATTAAAAAAGCAACAATTTATTTCGAAAACGGTGGATCTCGGCAAGCTTTAATTGGAGGAAAACAGCTGGTTTTCAAGCTGCTATCATGAATATTTATCAGAGGCAGCACAGTGAGACAGTGTTTGATAGACTTTGGTGTTGTATTTTATTTTATTTTTTACTGTACTGACAGACAGCCAGGGATGGACTCCTACTAGTTCTGAAGGTGTCCTGCTTGTGTGCAGGCTACAAAGCCAGAGGTTTGGAGGAAGAAAACACAAGGAAAAAATGTTTCTAATGATCCCAGCCGTCCAGCTGATGCCGGGGACAAAAGGCCACAGTGGGGACTTGCTGAATCTGTTTCTGATAATTGCTCAATCACTCGCCCCATAGGCCAGCTTGTTTGGAAAAGCGGTTTGCGAAAGATGTCAGCTTAAAAAATGTATCAAATTAGAGGCAGTTTATGATGAATGCGATTGTCTGGCGGAGTCGGGACAATAGGCTGTTCTCTGTCAATGTGAAATGGCTGTGGTGTTTGGCTTCAACAAATAATTGTGCTTGATTGGAGCATTTCTCAACCCGGCCTCAGCTCAACACCTGAGGAGTGCAGGAGATTTCAGTCAATTTTTTCCTCCTTTGTGTCTCATATCACAAAACACTGGTGATTCAATTGCAACCGGCACAGTTTACCACAGCTATTTGTTTTTATTTTAATGAAAGATGAAATTGACTTGACAAATTATTATATCTCACAGAGAGGTCTCTATTTGTCTGTTTTTGAAGCAAATATTGCCATAAAATTTTGCTCTCCACTGGGAAAATGAGAAACAGTATGCAGGCACTGAAGCAGCCCATTTCTGTCTTCCATTGAATTTTCCCCTACAAAAGACACCCTGCTTATCGATTGAGCCACTCATTTCCCATGTATTAAAGTTTTTGCTGTCTGAGGGGCACAGTTTGTTTCTGCACTAGTCAACCGTTTAAAAGCTGCTGCTAGCCCTTAATTACATTTCCAATAGTTCTGTAGGCTTTCCATCAGCAGCCTATGCTGTTTTAATATGCCAAGCAAAACAAAAGGCAAAGTCTCCAATCAGCGGGGTAAGCCTGCCCTGTGGGACGCAGTTTCTCTGGGTCATTTAATGCTGGAGAGATTAGTGAGACAATTAGAGTTGGCCCAAATAAGACAGTAGGCCACTTTTTGGAGACGCATGGTTTTAGTAGTGGTGGAGGGGCGGTTTAGAAGCTACTCAAACCAGCAGAGGGCTAATATAGCTCTGCCATTAGTCAAATCTGCTCCAAAGAGCACAGGGCTTGTTCTTCTGAACTTGTCCTCAGTGCCAAGGACACTCTGCTCCCCAGTACTTCATTACAGGAAATCACAGACAAGATACCAAGGAGTCTGCATTTTTAAACAGCCTAATTTGTCTCTGAACTGCTGTTGATGAGACATCCTTATTAGCGAGAGGAGATTCTGCAGAAAGTAAAGGAATTTGTTCTGCAAATTAGAGTGAAAGGATCTTGGGACTCGCTGGGGGAAAATGCAGGTTCGGCACAACATAAGCAAAGCTCTTAGATGATATTTATGGTGTGTGCCACCCGCAAATAGCTGACGAATCCTCCCCAATGAATGGCCTATAATCACCAGTCAGAAAAAAGTGACAAAAGTCACAAAGCTGCCTTTAATTAGGCTCTTTCTTTGAAAGCTCAAAGCAGCAGTTGCTTGGCTCAGGCCAAACTCATTATTGCCTGTCGTCTCTCGATAATAAGACAGTTGTTGGGTGTTTGGCCAAAGCTAGAAAGCTGAGAAAATTTGCTGCTTGAGAGATTAGTATTGGACTTTTGAAAGAGGTCGATTTAGAGAAATGCATGCGGAATTAAGCTTTTGGCCCTCAGTTGTCAGTGTCTACATCCAGAGGTTTGTCCACTGGTTAAGGACATAGGAAGGAGGCAGTAGCAACAGTAAATACCATCTCTGAATTAGTTTGGCTGATTTTTATTAGAGATCTAATTACCAAATTGAACATTTATGTATTTAGTTGTAAGTGAATGACAGACAAAGAATAGATTCACTTCTTGAATTCTGTCTCAAGGTCTGCAGGCTGAGAGGAAAATCAGGTGTATATGGCTCCCTGGAGGTATGCTTCATTTCATCCTTTTACAGCCAAAGGTGACTGAACACTGGCCAAACAAGATCCAAAATAGGCCAGAGACTCAAAAGAAAGGAAGTATAATGGAGAAACACGTCACACAGTTCAGGGGTCTTCTGTGACTGTAGCTGTCTCTAACACAGCCTGCCTGGCGGGAGCCCATTCGCCGTGAATCCTTCAATTTCGCATTTGTCACCGATAGTGCTCCCCAGAGGATGCTCCTCACTGACAAAATAAACTCCTGGACTGAAATGTGATTTGATCTAAGACGGTGGGACGCCTGAAAAAAAGTGCCAGCGGGCTCTCTTACACTTTGAGAACACTACCTCTTCCTAAAGAATTGACATAACTCTCTGTCAGCTCTGGGAGAATACAGTAACTAAGCGCTTCACACCCATTACCCCCTCAGATAGGGGGGAAACACACACACACAACACCTGTAATTTATTCTGCCTGAGCCTTTCCCTGTGTTCTTGACAGTAAGCCTGAGTCGGAGAGAGGCAGAATTAATTATGACTCCTCGGCCTATCTTAATTAAATCATTTCATTTCATAGATTTAACACAACTGAGGCAAAATATCTACCTCATCTTTTAGCCGGGGCGGGGGTACTGGCTGAGAATGCCTCACATCAAGATATCAAAGGTACACTGTAAAGTTGCCTCTCCAGGATTACGATTTCACAGAAGAGTTGTCATGTCCAGCTTTTAGAGAGAGAGCAGCTTGTTAGCTCACCATTTGTGCAGGCTGGTGGGGGAAAGCGGAGGGGCAGCCTTGACTTTATCAACGGAAAAGTTTGTTGCCCTTTGAAAGTACACAGAGCTTTCAAATTGCACAGCTGAACTCTGTATCCTCACCTTAGTCAGGGTAGCCTGTCTTGTTTTCATGTCCGCAGACTCTTTACGTGCGTGTACATTTTTTTTTTCATAAACAAAGGTGAAAGGCATAGGAATTAGCCGAGTCCCGTCTACCCTCATGTCTAACCATCCGTCTTTGACAGCATTCCCACTCAGGCTCGCCTCACCTCACCTCAGCTTATTGATCTACCAAAATAGGTTAGAGGCAGTAGTCCAAAGAGAGAAAAACAAAAATATTAGCCAGAAAGGAGAAGACTGAGTGGGCTGGAGCTGTAAAGTGCAGCACTATTTGCTTTTTATTCTCCTATGACACGGAGTAATTATTGACACAGTTAGCGATGCAGGCTTGCTTTGATATGTCCCCTGGCTGTGGAGCAACCCCCACTGATTGTTGATGCAGGTTATTGCAGGACCTCGGACCTTGTAGGGATCAGCAGTTCTTTGATGTGGATGGACAGCACGCTGAGCTATCTGCGGCTATGATCTGGAAGCTGTGAGCCAGCACCCCTGATAGCCATGTCTTATTTGCTGGCATTAGGCCTCTCCGTTTTATAGAAGCGATACAGAGGTGTGATCTCTGAACTGGAGTATTGCAGTACACGTCACATCAGCTTCAATTCATCTTTTTGAACGCCCTCTTGTTGCCAGATAAACGTTACACAGACGGCCACAAATTGCATGCAAATCAGTTTTGTAATATGTGTGTTTTAGTACAGGCTTTAGTGCACATTTCACTCATTAATATACCTCCACGCTGATGAAAGCTTCCTCTTATCTCGCGTCATAATCCCACAAATTCGTCTATTTTAGAGGAGTGATTTCGAGTGGAGATGTAGAAAAAACAAATAGCATTGACAATAAAGCAAATTTCCACTATGCAGACTCTCTGAAATGAAATAGAAAGAATGACATTAATAGGATAAACAAAACCCCATGGACAGTATGAATCCATGCGTGCTAATTAATAGTTTCTTTCTGCTTATCGAAGCCCTTATCGCTCAGCATGGTGATGCCGAGGGACGGTTGAAAGCCCACCCCCTCCCAGCTCTTTGTCACATATTGAAAGTAATTAGCGTGTAGAATGGCCTAATGTCGCTTTAAATGAGCTCTCTATGTTCTTCGCATGTTGACGGCGGCGGTGGACATTCAGCACCAGTGAAAGGCTGTGTCGTTCATTCCTTCTCATTAACGCAGCAGCAAGTTATTTTAAATCGGGACTCAGTTGTCGTTCCACTTTGGGCTGTGATGGGCAGGCGCTAATTTAATTGTTGGGTGGCGATGTCAGGAAATAACCACACTGGGAAGTGTAACCAGTGCGACGAATTTCATTGTCAGGTTGTTAATTAGAGGAAAATAAGTGGCTTGCCGTGTCAACGTGTTGCTGAACAATATTACACTGTGATATCCTGCTATTAGCCGAGTTCTGCATCACAGTCAGTGTTTTCCTTATTAAGAAGTGGAAGTTATTGGAGCGTTGCTGTGTGCTGACAATATCCACACTGTTG